TTAGTTCTTTGTCTATTATTCACAGATTAGTATATACGTCTTGATTTTATAGTCTAGAGTGCGTACTATTACATTATAATAGACCCTCACGTCTGTAGACTAAGTATATACGCTTTTGATAGGCAGGATATTTACATTAGCCTTATGCTTTGGACCTTATACGCATACGCATACGATTACTCATATGCATACGATATAAGCATACGCATTTGCATTCGATAGACTCGATTACGAACATCGGTCTTACGCTTTAGACTTCTTTTGCATACGATTCATATGAACCATACGATACGACTACCTTCCGATTCCCCTTTACAATAGATGCCTAGACTCTAGAAGCAACGCTAGGTGCTCTACAAGCTAAAATTGCCTCCTTAAGGAGCCACTAACTCTCCTCTCGACCTAAACTCGCTCTCCCCGACCCCGAGAAGTTCAATAGACATACACATAAGTTCGATACGTAGTTGCCAAGCATTAGGGCTAAGCTACGCGTAGACGGTAACGCAATTGGAGACCCTATTGCCCGCTTTTACTACGTTTACCTTAACCTTGAGAGCCACGTACAAGCAATAGTACTGCTATAGCTAGGTTATACTAAAGATACACAAGAATGGGACTACAATACGATCCTAGAGCAGCTAGCTCGTGTCTACGATAACCCGAACAAGATTCAAGAAGCAGAAGACAAGCTCTTGGCCGTTAGCCAAGGAAGCGACTCTCTCCTAGCCTATATGGCTAAGTTTAAACGCTTACTTTATAAAGCAGGTGGACAGGACTAGCCTGAGGCCGCCAAAATCTCTTCTTTCCGCAAAGGGTTGAGTGATAAGCTTCGTTCTAGGCTTTCTCAACAGCTCAATCTCCCTCGTACTTATTCTGGCTTTGTCAGAGTAGTGCAACAACTAGCTGGCGGAGGACGATCCGTTACTTTTACCCCTAACACTAGTTCACCTCATATCGTCTAGCCTCGCCAATTCAATTAATCACCGCGCGGAGATCCTATAGACGTTACTGCTATCAACTCTATCGATATTGGTGCTATTGACCTCCCTTCCTCCTTTTCTCCTCGTGAGATCCTAAATCGCAACGGCCCCGAGAGTCCTCAGATCAAGGTCTTAGACTACAACAAGCCCCTAGCCCGCGAAGTGGATCCAGCCGTCCGGATTACCTAGAGAGCTAACAACCGTTGTGTTAGGTGCGGCTTAGCCAATCATTAGGTAGATAACTATGCTTTTGGCCCTGCTATTAAGAACCACAAGAGGCCTAAAGCTAAGGATATAAGGAAGCTATAGGATAGTTGGCAGTTAGCTAACGCTGAGGATTCCGATGATATAGATTAGATGCTGTGTTGGAAGCTTGGTGGACCATCGCTTTTCGGAAAGGGGGGGTAATGTCACAGTTCTGGTGTGACTAGTGGTTGTAGTCATGTGATTGTTTTAGTTAGTGTTTGAGGATCTAGCTTATCTGTCCTCAACACTCTTCCACTCTCTTAGTTCTTTGTCTATTATTCACAGATTAGTATGTACGTCTTGATTCTATAGTCCAGAGTGCGTGCT